ATCAGTCAATTTTGAAAAAAAAAAACATTTGTCTTTGACATACCTAGTCACTAATACATTTCTTATATTTAAATGATAGGGAATTTAACCACCTTTCTAGTCATAACACATTCCATATAATTATACAGAATAACGTTTTTTTTCAAATGTTTTTTGACCTAGTATTTTGAAAAGTTATTTATTGCATAATACGCTCACTATTCCCTATAACTTTAAAAAAGCTTTAAATTCTTATCGCCATTTTTATTTTTAAAGAATGACTATGCCGTAGCCGATAATAATTTCTTTTCGTTTTAAAAAGTAAGTCTAAGTTGAAATTAGCTTGAAGAAGAATAGAACTTCTTGGAAATGGTTTGTTTTGTAAGTTATTTTGTATATTTAAGCTTTCTAAAAATATTTAAAACCGAAAATCGATAACTGTATTTTTATTAAGTTTGTATTTTATACATAAATATTTTTAAACTTTAGCGAGCGCATTACTTTTATGACAGATTTTACATCACTTTTCACAATGTGTTTAAAGTCTTTAAAGCATGTCAATTCGCGCTTTCGAACCCATTAAACATGGCGCAAAAAAGTCAGAAATGTTATATCTAATTTCGCCATGTTGCAATTTTGATAGTTTATATTTTGTAAGCCATTAAACTTCAAATCTATTAGTATTAAGATAATTGCGTCTTATGTTTGTAAAGCTTTAGTATTTTGGTTTTAAAATAGTATTACTAAGAAAACTATCACAGACTATAAATTATCTCAAAACTGTTTCCATGACTAAATAAACTACAAATGGTCTTGGAGCATTCTAGAAGGGTTACTTGAGAAAAAAGATAAGAATCACTCTTAAGACTACCTACACATAGTTTCTCAAAGCACTCTTGTGATCTACTAATAAAGTTGCGCCCACTTTTACTTTAAATTGTCTAGAAAACTTCTTCGAGATATCTTCAGGGAATTTGAACTCTTAAAATATTCAATCGAATTAAATTATATTACATATCTTAAAGTATATATTTAGATATGGTTGTGCTGCTTGGTCCCTCAAAGGCTGGACTGATCTTGAAACGGTTTTATTTTTTTGAAGGTCCACTTAATGGATGGTTCTTAGATGTTAGATGAACGTCATTTCAGATGTTTAAATATCATCAGCTCTATTTTCAGTTAAAGAAGGAATATCAGTCATAAAATGAATATTTACTTTATTTTTTGTTTTGGTATTTTGGAAGCCCTGGATGCCTAATGGTTTTTCGAAATTTATGTGCGAAATTGTCCCTAACCCGCACTGGGCCAGCCAGTTTGGCGGGCTATAACCTAAATCCCTCGCCTGTGAGGAAACCCGTGCCCAGTAGTGTGACGTGTAAATGGGTTGATGATAATAAATTAAGATTAGTAAAATTCTATTTAAAATGTACGGTACACAGATTAGTCATAGTCATAGTCATAATCTTTATTGCATCAATGTTGTAGGATGAGGATATAAGGATGACAAATTTATAATAAACAAGTTATAATCACAGTACAGAGTACTAAAAAAACCGACCTCAAAAGTACGTGGAATTACATCTATTTGCCAAGTTTAGTTGTAATTGGTTACCGGAAAGTGCGCAAACCCGGATTCATCCCTTAGTACGCCACTATACGGAACTTGACAGAGATAATAAAAATCGGTTCTCACTACTCAAAGTACACTGAGAGAAAAAAACGCCTTGAATTGGAGATCAGCAAAATCAACAATTAAAATAATTGCTCCTTACAATAAAATTTAGGCGCTATTTATAAAAATGAATCTTCATGCGTGAACAGCCACCCTTAGAGGTGGATGATTTTTTTCAAAATTAAATATCTGTCTCACTGAATCACTGTGGAGGTACCTCTTTCCAACATAAAAAAGAATCATCAAAATCGGTTAAAGGTAAAAATTTCTTTTTTTAACATAATAATTTATGAAAACGTAAGGCATGACAATTATACAAAGCTGCTTTGCAAAGATTACATCTATTTACTAATAACTTAAGCTTCATATAAGCTGCATCGGGAAGATAACTTACGTGTTAAAATTAAATTAGGTAACTGTAGTATTTAGCGGTAAAAGCAAAATGTAGCGTTGTATGCATCAGAGAGTTAGTTGAACAAATTGCTTCGACTCATCTCTTTGTAAATCGAGTTGGAATTTTATTTCCGACTCAAAAGCTCGGTTTAATAACGTTTGGATTAAAAATACTTTTTGCAATCGAGGCTCTTTTCGTGCACCCCATTATTGATATAATAATTATGATAATTTGTAAGGAAAAATATTGATAATTTTGAATTTGTTAAAAGTGATCGCCGAAATACAAACTGAGTCTTACCAACACCCCGTATGGAAATGTATCAAAATAACCCACATTATAGAGCAGTAAAAATATATAACAAATTACCTGACACATTAAAAACAATAGAAAGAAACTCCACATTTTGTAATAAACTCAAACTATGACTAAATCAAAAATGCTGTTACACAGTTAATGAATATTTTGAAGATATTTTTAAGTAATATTGCTTTCCCTATGTAAACTATTAACTTGCATTCAACAAATTGTATACGTAATTTTAATTCTTGCATTCAAATTGTATTACTCATAATTTTAATTCTTATATTAAAATTGTTTTTTTAATTTTAATTCTTGTATTATTAATTTTTAATTTTAGTTTACAAGACTAATAATTTGTTATACACTTACTGGGTGCATGTAACATTTTAAATGTAACGTGTCTACCAATGCAAATGAATAAATAAAAGAATAGATATTGATATCCCTTGACTAAATTAAAAGACAATGACAAATATGAACCTTCATTCGCATCATGCGTCTTTGGTCGAGTATTACTTATTTGACAGTAATTGTTTCGGACAGATATAGGAAGGAGAGAACGAGATTACAGGACTAAAAGTCTGTAACGAATAATTCTGCATCAACTACGGCCTTATTTTATTGCATATTGTTCACTTTGAGAGAGCCCTTTTCGTATTATTAATAATAATAACGCGCACACTCTCATAGCCCCATACTAGGGAAACCCTGTATCGCGGTTGCCATGGACACACACATAGACAACCACAAATGACACCCAAACTAACGAGAGAAATAAATGTAGGCCATTCAAATACTTCTCCTGACACGGAAATCGAACCCGGGACCTCTTGCGTGGCTGTCCAGCATGGTAACCGTTCGGCCACTAAGGCAGTTAGTTGTACTATACTCAATAAATTTACTATCATTATTTCGTATACCTATTTTAACTAGTCTACTAACTCTCGCCTCTCCTACAGCCAAGATAAATTTTGAACTTTAAATTGGGAGTAGCAGTGTTTTCCAGTATTGGCACACCATGTATTGGCAGCAAGCCTGGGTCAAGGCTTCAAACCCAAGAATCGTCCAAAGATACGTACCATATCGAGCAGCACCGCTGTCTGCATTTCTGGAAACAACACGCCACAGAAGTCCAACCGTTTATTTATTACGCGACCTCGACCGCCTAGTGGCTAACCGCACGAGGAGGGCCAGCTTTTAATTCCTATTAAGCGAATTTAGGAATAAAATTGAAATAAATTTTAAAGTTTTCATGGAACAATATTTTTCTGGTTATTACCATTTATTTATGCAGACGTTTGATCAGTGGTTGAAGGCAGAGATTAAGTTGCTACAGGAGATAAATTTTAGTAGCAGGAGAACTCTTTGTGAAAGAGTTAGACTTTCTGCCAACTTCCCTATTTCCGCCGCCAAGACGTAAAGTGAGCATTACTGTGTTCCGGTTTTGAAGAGTAAGAGTGCTGGTGAAATGACAGGCACATGGGACTTGACAACTTCTGTCTCAGGGTCATCTCATCTTTGTGATTTAAAGCTCTGAGTGGTACTGCAACTGTTATGTACAGGTGTGCCGCTTACCACCAGGCCCACGACTTGTTCGTGTCACTTGGTATCATAAAAAAAGAGATAACGATACAAAAATAGCAAATTTTCGATGCAAATTTGACTTTTAGCATAAAGCATTTTAACGTTGAAAAACACAATGAGACGTTTCCTTATAGTGGAGTTAACGTGAAGGTGAAATAATTACAATGATTTTCTACGTGGAAACGGGTATAATCTTGACTAAAAATAATTACTACAATTTTGGTGGCCGAGTTTTTATTCATTTCGTGTCATTAATTAAGTGCTTATTTATTTTGTTTACTTTATTATTATATTAGGGGAGGATAGAAGGGAAAAGAAAAAGAGGAAGGTCGAGAATAGATCGATAGAGAAAGAAGATCAAAGTGAACAGCTATAAAGAGGTCAAAGAACTGGCTATGAACCGTGAGGAGTGGAGAAGACTACACCGACAAGAGTCTAGCTCTTATATAAGATGATGGTTATTGTACTATGTTTGTTAAATTTGATGTAAGTCGCATTATTGCTAAGGAGCATTTATGGAGTTTATTCTACTATTTTCTTTATTTACAAACGTTACGTCTTGTGGACATTTCAAATTGGATGAGGTCGCAGATGGGGTGGCGTTGTTGTTGTTTGGACGCGTCCATTCTGACGCATTTAAGGGGCAATGTATACGCTTCTATAATAAGATTCTGGTTCATATTCAAAATTTGCCATTTATGAGGTTTAAAACTATAGTGAAACAAAAACTTTATACTAAAGCTTCTGCGTATTTTGATGACAAATATCCGTGGTGGGGACTCGTTTAGCTCCTGCGGGTAATCTCAATCTAAGATATTATAAATATTGTAAATAATAAATATATTCAAATGTACATTTACAAAGAGCAACCTATCATCTTTGACTTTGACTTGGAATTTGAAATTTGTTCTCCCCAGAAACGAATCTCTATGGAATTCACCGACATATATTCAGTTGAAACGTGACTCACTTTGTGTATACTTTGATTACGTCAACATCGTCGCAAACTAACGGAATATTTTTTTTACAAAGCGCTTAACAGGTTGTGAACTTAAGTGCGACAATACACTAAGGAGTAGGTGTCGTAAGAAATGGTGCTACAGTTGTTGTTGAATTCGATGACGAAGGCGAATTAAATTGTACCATCACTAGTTCGTAAGTAATTATGGTTCCCGCAACCTGAAACCAAAACATATTAGTGAAAAAATCAGAAAAATACTTTTGCAAGTAAAATTATTTTATAGCACAATTTCGATAATGAAGGAACGGAATTAAAAAAATAATTTTCGTGATCTGATAAAACATAATTTTAAAAAATACTAAAAAACTTCCGTATATTATTTGGGTGCTACAAAAATGACAAATATCTTTTTTATAATGAAAAAGTATATCGCACTTGACAACTAACATAGTATTATCTCAAAAATGACGTTATATTATATTTTATCTCGACATTGTGTAATATTAATAATTTATCTCCAAAATTTCGCTATATTGATGTGTAATTCATATACAATTTAATTTCAAAGTGACAGAACAACACTGTCGCTATTATTATAAATTAAAGCTGTTTTGAGACAATACTATGTTAGTTTTCATGTGCGATATGATTTTATTTTGTATGTTTTTTTGACATTAGTACATTGACAATAACCCAAAAATTGTGTTTTTCGGATAAGGTAACTTTTTTATTGAAGGTGGGATTTAAACAGAGTTTATAAAATAACTATTGCAAACAGATAAAACATCGTAAACGTAGCAAGTGGAGAATCGTAGTCTTTCTACCCTCTTGACCATCAATTGTAGCCACCAACTAATTGACATACCTTCGTTGCACGACCTTCTCTGATAAGAGGATTTAAGGTAATATTATGTCACGCTAGGTTAATATGTTGGCTAGGTGAACATTAGATCTGTAGGAAAGGAATGAAAGAAAATGGGTGAAAGTTCAACACAGGAACTTCTTCACAGAAAACAACACACAATTACCATACTGCCATTGATATTTATGTTAAAAAAGTACATATGAAATGTTGGCAAGAATGATGAAAGAAAATTTCAATTTAAAAAAAACAGACCAACAGATAAATCCATAATTTCCTAGATTTAAAATAAAAAAAAATAGAAAAGAAAAAGTTAAGTGGACAAATCGATACCTCCAATTACATTACGCCAACTTAATTTTTGGACCTGTTCTGTTTTTATTATGTCTTTTGTTTATTTTTTTTCTCTTTTTTCTTTGTTTTTTTTTCGAATTTTCTTTTATGTTTCTTTATTTTTTATTCACAAAATTCGGAAAACATAACATTGGTAAATATATATGGCTGTTAACAAAAATAACAGAACATGTCCAAAAACTACGTAGTGTTCATTGGATGAATCGAAATATGAATACTAACAGTTAACAGTAATCCTCTTGTGACGCTAAAAAACTGAAGTCCGCTAAGAGCTACATTGTCTCCATTCACATGATCTAAGAATCTCTGGACCTGTAATCATATTATTTTCTAATTCTTATTTCCTAGGCACCGCTCTAAGTACGCTTTATACTTTGGACAGTACTGTAAATAGCATGATATAAAATTTCGTTTGAAAAGTTGACGAACTTGTGCTCTTTTGTAATTTATAATATGTTTGTGCTCTTTTGTAAGTATGCCTCTACCATGAGATTACAACAACCGGTGTCGCTAGCGACCGTGCGTGTGAAAGCGTGAAATGTTTGTATACATAATGTTGTTTCTTGTTATGACCGCCAGGGGCGCTGTATAATTGTCCATACAAAATTGTTAAGTAATTTACGCGGTCGCTAGCGACAGTAAACTCGTAGTAGAGGCACAGATATATGATATATGAAACTAAAATAATATTTTTTTGTTTATATTACCAAGTAACGGGATGAACAAGTCGTGCACCTGGTGGTAAGCGACATGCAGTGCCTGCCCCGTCGTCACTATAGCCCAGGGAAGTACTGCTACCTTACCTATTTCTACTGTAAAAACAGTAATGTCAGACTTACTTACACACAAGGACGTCTACTGCTATTGAAAATGACGTCTATGTTTGTTACACCTTGATGTAATTAAGTAGTATCAATGTGAGATGCATATAAATCTCACTATACCTATATATGTTAAGCCATGTTTTACTGTAGCAATTTCAATTTATATTAGTGGTTCTTTTGAAATTGCGAATAAGAAATCAGTTGTTCCATAGATAAAAAGTGTTCACTCGACCAAAATCGTAGAGTAGAAGAACGTTATTGCAAACTTACGAAAAAAGGAGCAATGCAGCTCCTTGTGACAGTCCCATATCTTTCTACATAAGTTTTGTTTATAATGACCCTCCCTATCAAGCACAGGGACCATCTAAGTCAGGCGTTAGGTGAGATGCCCCGGGTGCACGTACAGCACCTTCCCTATTTTCCAGATAGGTACTGTAGCTGTAGGCACGCTCACTTCCTGTCGCCAGAGCTCCTTGTGACAGTTTTCATTCAAGGCAGTATTGCCGCCATACCTATTTCTGCCGCCAAGCAGTACGATCATTATTGCGATACAGTTTTAAATGGCTGCTGAAATGACAGTGACAGGCACATGAGGCTTGTTAACTTTGCGTCTCAGGATTACGGGTACGTTGACATCATATGGTAACTTTTAGGGCCTTGTTGAGGCATCCCCGCTTCTGCAGTGCATCTGGCATGCTTGCTGTGGACGATTTTTATTTTATGCGCAAAATGTCCACATCAGTAGTGTGAAGGGTTAGGGGGAGCAACAACGAGATCCTAAAGATGATAGCGGTTAGGATGGATGTAGCGGTTTTTAGAAGGTTCACCGAGTTACACGTTCTACATGTGCGTCGGTGAGCCGATTGGAAGACTTGTTAATATGTAATTAAGTAATAGGTATAATAATAGTCCGGTGCGATGCACGCTCAGATTCAGACGTGCTCACACAGTAAGAATTATATTAATTCGCGATCCGCGCGGTAATGACCGCTGCGCGTAATTGACTATGGGTTCCCAACAACTCATAGCCAATGAACTGCTGGCGTTCATACAACACGCCATCGACACTATGGACGAGGTCAGCATCATGCAGATCTGCAAATCAAACTTTAAAGAAGATGAGATTTGCAGTGGCAAGGCGCTGCTTTTCCGTGTGCTTGGCAAGGCCGAGCAGATGCCATCTCGCCGGAGGGATGGAGGAACGAAGAGTATCCAGGACATTATAACGATGTTAAAGGAAACCGACCCAGACGACGTGCCTGCTTTCGTGGCAAAGGAGCTGCACAAGCTGCCCCCTGTCACGTTCGACCATGTCGATGTCACTAGGCTGCTTAAGGACATCACATCCCTGAAAGCAAGTCTGGCCGAAGTTCAATGTAAATTGGAGGCTTCGGATAACACCATCTGTGAGTTACGTGCCCAAGTTGTATTACTGAGTAGTGCAACTTCGGTAAGTAGGTCACCCGAGGCCTGTAACGTGAATACTCGTCGCGGGGCACATAATGCATCTATCGGCAGTTTTGAGTCGGCCCATATGGATGCGTCACCGACCGCTGTCGCTGAGTGCGATTCCCCGCGCCCCGCCCCTCGATTGTCCGCTCCGGCGGAGACGTCACGCGTAAACACGTTGACCCCTCCACGTGATTACGCCGCTGTCGCAGCTGTTAACCGACCCGTTGCTCCACAACCACAAGCCAGGCAGCTATCAACGAAGGGGATGAAAAAACCTCGTGTACCTGTCTCTGAAGTTGCAAAACCACAGAGGCAGACGGACCGGTGCGACGATGACGGCTTCACAAAGGTGGAGAAGAAGAAGAGGAAGCCCACCAGCCGTAACCTGTGCGGCACTGCACCGACAGGGTCCAACTTTTTGCTGCGTCCGGCAATCCCGACAACGCTGCTGTACCTGTCACGCCTGCATTACTCCACGAAGTCTGAGGAGATAGTGGAGTACATCAGGTTGAAATCCAAATACACCCTGAGGGTCGAGCGGTTGGAGTCCCGCCACTACGTGAACTTTAATTCGTTTGTGGTGAGAGTGCCGACCGAACATCTGTCGACCTTCATGAAGGAGGAGTTCTGGCCGAAGGGTGTCCTATACCGGCGATTCCGTGGCCGGTTGCCTGACACCAGATGGCGCCACACGTCGCCGACAACCTAAATACGTGTTAAATTAGTAATAGTGTTATTTTATATTGTTATGTATGTTAGTCTGTAAGGTATGTATCTATGGGTCTCAGTAACCTGAATATAAATAAAGAAATAAAAAAAAAAGAAATAAAAAAAAAAATAAGAAATTTATTAATTTACTAACACAAAACTAATATATTTATAAGGTGTGTCATATTACTAACATACTAATTTGTTTGGACTTTTAGTTGTCTGAAATAAACAATTTTTATTTTATGTACCCCTTAGGTTGAAAGTTCTGAGTGGTACTGAAGCTGATATGGCCAGGCGTGTTGCTGACCACTAGGCGTAAATTTGTTTGTTCCGTCACTTGATATAAAGAAATAAATAGTTTTACAGTTGGATCTATTATTAGCAGCAGATTTGTTATCTCGAAGAAAAGTATATCCAAACCTCAACACAATATACAGGAGACGGCACGTCATACAACACGGTAGCCGGGGTGTTTGATGCTGAGTTCACTCGTGAAGCAATCAAAGAAACGGCCACAGATCGACTGATGAGGAACACTAAGGAGAACAGGAAGTATGTTGCTGCTTCATATCCGCCTAGTAGTTTCGCGTGGTGGGTATTGCTGGAATGAAAATTGATGTTGTCAAATAAGTCCTTGTATCATGGCGTAATACCAGACTTTTCGCAGAACTAGATATGGCAAAGTAGTATCCAGTTTTAATATTTTTTAGAAGAGAACTTTTCCATAACTCCTCGTTGTCCGTTTAAATCAAAGGCAGAAGTTCTACTTGAAAGTCAAGTTCTATGTATTTATTAACACATGCAGTTCAGTTTCTGTAGTTCAGGAACATTCTACGTTAAACTTCAAACTGATTTCAACGTTAGACGATTAGGTGGCTGGTCGTTTTTTGTGCGATATTGTGGTATTATAAAAGTTTGTCATTTTATACTAGTTTTCAAAAGAAATTTAGTAGAATTGAAAGATACTATAATTATTTAGTACTACTAACATTCCAATATTTTCGATTGGTAGGTACGTTCAATCAAGATATTAAGTTTGGCTGATTGGTAAGTAAAAGAATGTGACTGCCATACTAAAAATAAAAATAAAATTAAAAACCACTTACCCTGGAACTCGGCTACTGCATTCTCCAGTACCCTTGATGCCATCTCTAAAATTGAATAATATTGCATAAGCTAAGTGTTTCTGTGAATTGTGAATACACTTATCTGATGAAATAAATATGGACTATATTTTTATTTCAACAACGTCCAACCGAGTCGCTGTAGAAGATAGAGTGCATGCGGAGTCACAGAAGAAAAAACACTGGATGGGCCTTCAACCTCGATTACTATAAGAACCGTTGTCGCCAAAACACACACTATCATAATGTTAAGCACTATGAAATCTTGATAGCGATTGGTTGTAGTTTCTAATTTAAGAAGATGTAACAAATTTTGGACTGTTAATATAATTTAAACTTTAACTAGTTGGCATATTGTTGACAGTTCAATATCTATTATAGCAAGTTACGACGTTTTGGTTTTCAAATTTCATTTAATGTGCTGCCATCTAGCGACAATAGCTGAAAGACGATGAACGATTAACGCTTATTAACTTTCTCCATAAAAAAGTCGACCCTATTGCAGAGGTACAAGGGTCACTTTCGTTTCTCACACAAAATCTATTACGATAAACAGCAAATAGAAAATTTATTAAAATTAAATAAAACAAGACTTCATGATAACATGAAACACCACCATGGGTAATATTATAGATGCAATTATCAATTTGCAATTATTAATTATATTTTTGCACAACAAAGTAGCAAACTTTTGAGGCAGTTTTTTTTAATAAAAATTTACAAATTATTAATGAGAATAAAATGTACTTACTCCAAAGTATTAAAGAGTTGCAAGCAAATAAAAAACAGGTTATTGGCGAAAGAGATGAAAACTATGCCACTGGTGACGTCATCGACTCTGCGTACCATTTGCGTCACTCGACCATAGTCTTCCCGTGATGTCCTCCAGAACGCTTCAGGCAAGTACTAGAATAAAACGAAATAAAATATTATTAAACTGGATAATACTGGATCTATTTTATAATGGAATAAATCAAGGTATACCTTTCCTTGCGCAGATAATAGTTTCTTGTTCACTTGTTCCAATCTCGATGTCAAATAGTAGCTTATGCATATCACGAATAAGTCTGTGAAATTCCATATAAACGTCGCTTGAAAATGGAAAAACTGAAATTTAGAATGTTATTTGTAGTAAATGAAGCGTAAATAAAATGTAAGAAAACATTTTGTAGAATCTATTTACCTTTATTGTATACAACATGTAGAATACGTACGTATTATTAATCTATATGTATATGTCACGGGCAATTTAATAAATCGGGCATTATTAATACATACTGGTCATATATTACTTTTGCAAATCCGTATTAATAATACTTGACCCATTCGATAAACAGAAACTTAAGGTAGCGTAAATTTATCACCTGGACCTACCTACCAACCTAACCAAAACACTAGGTACAGATAATTTGTCTTTTTACTTCGACCAAAACAGACTAGTCATTATTCATACTGTCCCGTGAATAATCGTGCAGTTTTTATTGCAATGCCCACTTAAATACAGACCGGCCATTATTCATAGTAACCGGACTTATCAAATTGTCCAATATTATATAGTGTATTAAAAAGAAATTACTATATATTGTTTGGTTTCAGCCCTTTTATATTTTAATTTTCTATACTATGGTCATATACATTATCATCTTTTAAACTTACATCACAGTTCTGTGTGGTAGTTACAAATTTTAATGTGCAATAAAGAACAATTTTTTTTCATTCACCCATTAATTCAATTATTCTATCATTCGTGCACTTGATAAACATGAAAATTATTTTTATAAAGTTCGGGTATACCATATTATGTATAAAGAAAATTTCAAATATAATGTGGTCATTTTTTTTAACACTAGGTGGTATCCTCATCATGTCTGGAGTTTCTTCGAATAACTCGAAAAATATTCAAGCATGAAATTTAGAACGCGAATTGGCAACGTTCAGGATGGTTCACCCATAATAATGTGACCACCATTTTAGTATTTTAAGTAAAAATACAAATTATCGTGTACGTTTTGCTGAAACATAAGGTATTAAGCCTCTTACGCTAATAATGCGGGAACTCTGTCAGACTTGCAATCCAGCCCAGTCTAATGTTTTTTTTTTACATCTAAACACTAAGGCTTAAAAAACTTCGGGACTTGCAAGATTACGTCATTTGTCCATTACCAGTGGACATAATCTGTTTTAAAATACCGCCATCCGGTGCGCAATGAGGATAATCCGCAAAATGGAGACTTCTTTTGAGAAATTGTCACTTTTCATCTATTTTTATTTTGTTTATAGCAATTCCATGTAAAAGTTCTGTACCCCTAATCACTCTTATAGCATTACGACCACTTTACAAGCCAAATACTTTCATAAAATGTTTAAAGAAAACGCCTAAACACGCCTTGTTCCGTGAAGTAGGTAATAGTAATAACGCAAAATGTTACGATTATGAAAATTGCTTTTACCTGAGTAAGGGGACCCAGTACCCAGGAAAAGGGTAAATAATCGAAGACCCACGGGTAAAAGTGTCGCGAGAATCCTTCGTACAAATTTATATTAGGATAACAAACCATAGCACCTGCGAATGCTGATAGCAGGGACAGGATGTGTTCAACTGCAAGAAAATCGTAACAAGTAACTTTAAAAAATGAATTTGTCCATCAGCGTGAAAGCAACAACAAATCATAGCAAAATTTTGGATTTTCTCAGTTTTTTTAGTTAATACCGCAGCAAATTTGATTATTGCCAGGATTGATAATAATACCCTACACACTCCCATGTTAAAAAAGAGTTATCCGAAATTTGTCATTCGTTAATTTCCGAACCGAACATCTTTTCATGTTGTTATTGGCGCCTCAATCGTCCTAAATTGTACATTAAGGTTAGTAAAGAAAAATGAGAAACTTACATGTTACAGATGGTTCACTAATCTTACCGAAGGTATGTTAGATGGGGACCCGCATTGCACATGTATCATGATGGACTTTGATGTTACCTATATTATCTCCTAAGAGTACTTTGAGTTACCGAGTCGCTTCATGAGTCGGGTGTGCAACAGGAATTTACCCTTGCGTATAATTTATGTATAGATACTTACAGAGAGCCAAAGACAATACAATGAAACAAGTAACA